GTGTGTGTGTGTGTGTGTGTGTGTGTGTGTGTGTGTGTGTGTGCGTGCGTGCACGTGCTCATGTATGCACGCACATGAGTGCAGGCACGTGCATATGCAAATTTGGATGCCACAAGCACACTTGTGGAGGTCAGAGGACAAATTTCAGGAGTCACTTCTCTCCTTCCACCATGTGTCCCAGGTGTATTAAATCACAGACTTGCATACATTTTTTTTTTTTTTTAGACAGGCCCAGGCTGACCTCCAACTCACTGTGTGGCCAAAGACAGCCTTGAAGCCCTGATCCTCCTGCCTCCACCTCTCAAGGGTTGGGATTACAGGCCTGCATGCCTCCACAAAGTCTCTGCAGACCTGAATGGAATCCAGGGCTTCCTGTATGCTCTCCCAACTGAACTGCATCCCCAACCCTTCGGCATCGTTTCCATACCTATGGTGCAGATGAGGAAACTGAGCAGCAAAGATGTTCAAATGCTACTAGGATTTGATGTCTGGCTGTCTGGCCCCAGACCCCACAGGGCCCTTGCCTTGTGGAAGAAGGGATTTCCTTCATTGGTCCTGTTTTCCCAGTAAGTCCATCTCACCTCCGTCCTGGTAGTGGAAAACCAAACCTCTCCCTGGCATAGTGGCGCACACCTTTAATGCCAGCATCTGGGAGGCAGAGGCAGGCAGATCTCTGAGTTCGAGGCCAGCCAGGAATACAAAGTGAGACCCCTGTCTTAGAACAAAACCAAACGCCCTGTCTGTCAGGAGGAAGGAAATTTGGAGTGGAGCTGACCAAAGCTTGTGCCATGACAGTGTCCCCAGTGGCTGCTGGGTGGGCTCAGAACACACCAGTTCCCCTAGTGTCTAAAGGTTAAGGCATTTGTTAGGTTTTTTTTTTCTCTATCACCCCACCCCCACCCCCATTTGCACAATACTTTCTAAACCTTCCCAACGGACAGACAGACAGTTAGCTGCTTGCGGAGGAACCTTCGCACAATGCAGACTGTGTGCTGGAAAGGGAACTTTCATGCCTTTTATATATAAAGTTCCCACTCTAGGATCAACCAAGAGCCTTGTACATGCCATGGAAGCCCTCTCCAGGGAGCTCCAGACCTGGCTCTCACAGGTTGTTTTCCTGACCAAAGAAAGAGTATGTCTTGCCTGTCTTCTCCTCAGACCAAGTCAGAGAGGCTTTGCTTTCAGTGTTAAACAGGCCAGGGAGATGGCTCAGTAGGTACCCTGCCTCCAAGTTCAATGACCTGAGCTCGTCCCTGGAACCAGTTGGTGGAAGGAGGGAACCAGCTCCCACAAGTTGTGCTCTGAAAACACACACACACACACACACACACAAAGTCTCATTATTAGCAGGCTGAACAGGGTATCACACACTTATAACACCAGCATTTGGGAGGTACGAGTAGAATCAGTAGTTCCAGGTCATCCTCAGCTACATAGTGAGTTTGAGGTTAGCCTGGGCTGTATAGAGAAACCCTATCTCAAGAAAACAAAAAAATAAAGTTTCAATACCAAGTGTGGTATCATTAGTCCTGTAATCCCAATTACTCAGGAGGCTGAGGTAGAAGAATTGAAAGTTTAAGGCACACCTGGGCTACAAGAGTGAACTCAAAGTTAGGTTGGACAGCTTGGGCAGACCTGGTGTCTCAAAGAAATAAAAGGTTAGGAATATCCTGTGGTAGGGTGCATGCCTAATAAGTGCCAGGTCTTTTGCTTAATTTCCAGTACACACATACACACACACACACACACAAACACACACACACACGTGCATGCATGCACATACAGACACATATACATGCATACACATGCACATGCATGCACACACAAGTACACATACACCTGAACACACATGCATGTACATACACACATACACACACAGTACTACATACATACATGTATACACAAGCATGTACAAATGCACACATACAGATGAGCA